CTGATAAATCGTGGTAGAGTAAATAACAACCTGTGAGAACGCCCAGCAATTTACTGCTAAAATCCCGAGTGAGCGTGTGAGAGCTGGTGATGTCTCCAGGACGGCACTCTCCTCCAACAAACAGAGTTTGGCTCTGTGTGTTTAAGGTGAGGCTGCAAGGGTGTGGGTCGGGTGGGACCATGACCCTCCTCTCTGCTGGGAAAACTGCTCTTTGACTCTGTGCCTCTCCCCAGCACGGAGTCTGAACCCAGCTGCAATTAAATTTGTCATGGGGAAGATTTTTCTGTTTCTCTGTGCAGTGATGATGACACTCCAGGCCCCTCTGTCTGTGGTTTCCTGAAGAAGAAAACCACATTTTCCTAGTCTCTTCTCTATGGGGTAAGGAGTGAGCTTCCTCACAAGTCTCCTGTGGGCGCTGCAAAGAGCTAGCTGCCACGGACAGGCTCAGTCCTGGGAGTGCTACAGGAACGGGTGTGCTGGCTCTGCCCTGTAGGAAGGCCTCAGAATCGAACTATTATCGGTACCCGAGATCATCTAACATGAAGGAGATCTGAAAAATCACTGCTAACTGCTACATTTCCTGCCCCCTCCCTCCAAAAATTTATGAGTTTATATTCAAACCCTCAGCACCTCCGGATGTGACCTTACATGGAGACTGGGTCTTCTTTACAAAGGTGATCAAATTAAAACAGGGTCACTAGTGCAGGCCCTAAACCAAAATGACTGGTGTCCACACAAAATAAGGGAGTTTGAACCCAGAAGCACAAGGAGGGGGAAGATGACGTGAAGAGACACGTGGAAAGATGGCCATCTACGAGCCAAAGACAGAGGCCTGGGACGGATCCTTCCCTCACCACCCAGGATACAGCAGCCCTGGGAAAATAATGTATTTACCGAATACAAAGATCTCCTACTAAAAGTCTCTTGATTCTAGCTGAGGAAACTGAGGCAGAGAGAAAGATGACGCTGCTCCTGTCGCACAGTGTCAGTACCAGGAACCTGTTTCCTGACCCCTACATCAGTGGTCCATCAGCAGCCCAGGTGAGCAAGTTCATTATCAGGAGGCCAATGAGGGGTCACCTCTAAGGGAACGGTAGAGGTCACACCAAAGGACCCACATTCACTCAGCAATCTGCACCATAATGGGAGCCAAGTGTGAGCAGACCTAAGTCTCTACCAGAAAGATGGCTCCTCTGGGCTCTCGGCACTTCATTTACCTTCATAGCTTGAGGCAGCCACAAGCCCTTTGGTGTGATTCATAAAATGATGGAGCTGTGGGAAAGGGTTTAAAAATACATGTGCCTTTGTTTATTTTCTTGCTCCTATTTCAGACCCCCACCTCTAGGAGCCAGGACTAATCTTCCACCAGGATAAGGTAAGCAATCTTTTTTCATCCTCTCCAGCTCAGTGTGGGGGAAAAGCAATGGAGAAAGCTTGTTCCAGAGATTTTAAGAATGAAGATCCAAGGGGAAAAACTGCCCTGAGTTGTGTCCAAATCTCCTGTCCAACACCTGTCTGTAATTTCACATCATTGGTCTCAAAAGTGGGCAGGTAAGAAGTCTCTGTGAGGTCAGACACCCAACAGAATTCCAGGGCAAGTAAGAACAGAACCTTTGTGTGTCTGCTGCCCGGCTATATGCTATATTTAGTCAATTCCTTTTCTCTAATTTATAGGGAAGAAATTTCTTAGATGTGACATATTTGAACTGAGAAGCAACAAAAGTTTGCACATGACTCCTGTCCACCCATTTCTAGAAGGGAAATTTTAAGCTAGGGCTTGAATTCAGGTGGTATATTAGCTCGAGGTTAGAATTCAGGGAGCTCATGAACTCATATGAGGCACGAACAGGGATCATATCTTCATTTTCATTATCCTTTAACTAACATTTAGCATTTCCATCTATTTTGAGCCTAGGTAGTAAAGCAGTGATATTAGCAATTACAATAACAAAAATAGAAATCATAACAATCATACATATATTAATTATTAAAGATATCAGAATATCATTTATGCTCGTTACTGCTTTGAACATTTGGACTTATTACAAATACCACTAAGTATTATTATTTTACATAGTCATTAGAAAGATAGACACTGAATTTTTTCTTTGATACCTGCATTTCAGTACAATTTGTTTCTCTAGTAACCCTAAGTATTTTATTTATGTACTTACAAACATTACTCTAAGAAATGATCCAGGGGCACCTGAAACTAATACAAAGTCTAATTGAATGTAAACCATCATTGAAAAATAAGACTTAAAACTAAAAAAATAAGCAACAGGCTTACCAGACTCCCGGTGGGGTCCGTACACACAGAGGTGGCAGCAAGGAGGAACGCTGAGAAAAAGCGTGGGTGGCCGGTGGGCCGGAGCGCCATTCAGAACCAGAGAAAAAATAGGAAGATCTTCAGTGCACCACGGAACCATGGGACGCTCATTGAAAATGCAGACAACAGCTCTTTTCTCCCAGAAAGTTGAGTTCAGGTGGTTGGGGTGGAATTTGATTGTTAAAGAGATTTGAGGCAGGTGGTCTGAGGCTCACAGTTTGGAAAACACTGATGTGGATGTTCTGCTAACCCAGCCATTCCAAGTGAGTACTTAATATCTATCCTGAATGGATTATTTGTTTTCCATTTCTGGCTTCTAAACCCATGATTAAATAACATAAGCATTTTTGCATTTGTTTATTTTGGGTAGCAAAATAATTTTAAAAGCACTTTCACAGGTAACTGTTTAGAATAGCATTTATGCTTCAGCACTTTTTAAAGATAGAAGTAAACTATCAGCCCTGGCTGGCATGGCTCAGTGGGTTGAGCGCGGGCCTGTGAACCACACGATTGCGATTCGATTCCCAGTCGGGGCACATGCCTGGGTTGCAGGCCGATTCCTGGCAGGGGACTCACGAGAGGCAACCACACATTGATGTTTCTCTCCTTCTCTCCTTCCCTTCCTCTCTAAAGATAAATAAATAAAAATCTTTAAAAAAAAAGAAGCAAACAATATCAAAAAGAAGAAAATTGAGAAATTTATGCACAGGTCATAGGAACTAAAAAAGATTTCTTTCTTTCTGCAGCATCATGTACTTCGCTGATGTGAAAGATGAAGGAACTAAAGAGTATAATGCTTGCAGGCTTGTTCAGCTCCTTGAAAGTTTCCTTTTCCAAATACTTCTCTACCTTTCTTGAGTTCTGTGATTCATCTTGTGTCCACACTGACAGCTCACTGCCATTTTCCAAGAGGTGGATACAATTTGCAAAGCAGTAATTGACATCTCTCCTAGAGAGGTGCAGAGCCCTTAAGTGAATGAGGCTTTAGTTAGCGGCCCATTAAACTTAGCTTCAAGTGCTCCAAGCAAACAGACTAATTACAATAGCTTGGGGAGGACCTGTGTGCTTGCTCTGGGGTGTAGATCAAGCATTGTTTCCTCCAGTACAAAGCTACTACTCGACCTTGAAGGCCTTCTCTCTCAGTCTGAAGTATCAGATATTACAAAATAAGGTTTTTAAAAATTCATAATGTATGGCCTTTGACCCTGGTCTGCTTTTGATTACATGGCATTATATCTGGCACAAAATTGCATCCAGTTGATACATCTCTTGATGTTAGAGACTTGTCCACAGTAAACACTTAGGTGGAGTGACCTGAGGACTTCACCTGGGATCTGCCCTCCTAGCTCAGCATCTTGAACCACCAGGAGGCCTGGGGTTGGGTTTGGAGTCTTGCTTCTGCTACTTAGCAGCTGTATGGCCTGACATTACCCTAGCAAGTGACTAGCAAGTTTCCAAACCTCAGTTTCCTTTTCTGTATAAAGTAGATCATCAGATTTGTTGTGGGAATTAGAGGAGATGGTACATCTCACACACTTACGACAACACCTAGGAACTGCGTAAGAATTGTTAGTTATTGTTATTTCCAGCTTGGACAAAACCTAAAAATTACGCTACTGTGAAATCTTGAACCAGGGAAGCATCAGACAGTGGTCATCAATGGCAATCAACAACTTGAGTAATAGAACCTCATAATGGAACAGCTCCTAGCTATTCATCAGGGTGACTTCGGAGAGCTTCCTCAACACTCTGATAAGCCAGGGTTCCTATGGTCTGGACTGGGTACAGATACTTTTAAAGAATGCTCAATTGATTATGATTTTTTTTAAAAAACCTCTTGGGCAAAAATTACTCAGGTATTACAGACATGACGCCATGCCAAGAACTGTGTGGGGTGCCAGAATTATAAAAGAAGAGCCTCCAATTGAAAGGTGTATCCCACCAAAGGAAATGGGGCATTTATGTAAAAGTAAAAGAAAAAAACAAGGAGTATTACTCCAATACATGACTAAGTACCAAATAATGTTGAGATGATGATGGACTATGACATAAAAGAGAGACGGCAGGATCACTTCACACAAGGATGGGTGCTGGGGGAGAAGCTGAGGGTCCTTGAGACAGGCTCAGGTGGGAGAGGGGACAGGGCAGGTCTGTAACAGTGGGAAATGAAACCCACCCCACCATTCTTTGACCTTCTTTCTGTAAGTGCTGACTCAGACTAATGTGTAGCTTGTAGATGAGCAGCATGTTTGTATAAGAATCCTGGGAACTCTCTTCAGAAGATACAGGCTCTAACCTTCAGGCATCCCAGCTCCAGGAGATTTGCTGACCTTCAGCCATGGAGCCAGGATGGCGTGAACCCAGGACGATGCACACTGGAGCATCACTTGCCTTATCAGAATGGACTGTGCTTCTCAGAACAAAGAGAACTTTTCAACCCCCTCCCCCTCCTTATAAAAAGTTCTGCCTCCACTTAGATGTAGAGATGCGCTTTGAGACATGAATCCCCCCTCTCCCAGGTGGCTGGCACCTGAAAATAAACCACTTTCCTTTACATCCGAACCTGCCTCTCAAGTATGGGCTTTTGCAGAGGCTGGCAGAAGGATCTGCTTTCAGTTATGGTTTTCTGAGGCCAGAAACAGCAAGTACATTTTTATTTGAAGCATTTCAATATTTACACTGCCATGTCCATGCTATAATTTTAAACATGCTTAAAAGAAACATGGACAAAGCTAAAGGGAGTAGGATCAAGCATGGGAGGAGGGGATAGGTGAGGCAGGAGGACTGGTGAGGGGAGAATGGAGACAACTGTACTTGAACAACAATAAAAAATAAATAAACATGCAACTCTTCTTGACCACGTCATCTCCTGGAAGCTCCAGGCCTCTGAGAAGAACACGGTGCTCTGCCTCCTTGCCCCGACCCCCATCATAGTTTAGACTAGATCTTTCCTGCCCCGGCTCCTACTCTCCATTCAGCAACCTCTAGTTGGACAGATGCTTGACAAATAAATGATGAAGATTTATTCAAGGGTCTTGGAATCTGCAGACTGAGAACACGGCTAGGCAAAAACCTGGAAGTATTCCAAAGAAGAAAGAAAAGTTAAGAGTTCTTTTGGTAAAAAGTGCATTCTTGAAAATAATCAGTCCTTCATTTTAGCCCTAGGATTGTTCCGGGATAGTCATCAGTCTGGACGACGGATGCTAGGTGGCCTGGAGGATGGGTGTCAGGAGTTCTGGTCATGTCTGGTGGTCTGAACAGATGTCAGGTGGTCTGTATACATGTGTCCTTCAAGGGGCAGAGGGTTATGTGGAGGTTCAGATGTATATCTAGGCACTGATGCTGGACTGGAAAGTTCAAAAAGGTTTAAGTTCACGGGCTAGTTAGAACATGAATAGAGTCTTTCCTCTTGCCTTAACCTTCACGATGTTAATCTTTTAGCAGCTTGATTAAAATGGCTCCATTTTAAATATTCCCTATCTTTAATCATTTCTCAACACCCAGAACTTTGCTAGGCAACCTTCCTGTGGGGAAGCTGTGAGAAACCCTCTCCTTCTGAACGATTCTCTCTCTGTGGCAGTGATCCTGGAGCAGCATTGCTGGGAAGATGGTGCCGAGGGAGGCTGGGATGCGTAAGGCCCCTGGGGCCACCTGACTGCTGATGGAGTCTCTTAAGAATGGTTAATGACTTGCTGCTCACTTATAGGAGTTTTTATTTCAGCAGATGTTTTCAAATGATCTTTTAGACTCCAATATTTATTTTTCATTCAGATTTATACTTACAAGCAAGCAGCAAGTCATAGAGTTCCCCTATTAAAAATGATTTTAAACTATATTCAATATACACTTAAAACAGTTTAAATGGCAAGTTTTGTTATATATATATCTTACTGCATTTTTTTAAAATTAATAATGAAATATACCAAAATCAAAATATACTTTTGTGAAAGCAACAGGCCCAAAATGGTGTCACTCGTGCCAAAAGTCCGTGATAAGAAACTTAAATGTAATACCTTATCTAATTGCAGCGTCAACATCTCCCAGAAATGTAGCCCCTTAATCAACCAGTCTAGAATTTTCTGGTCAAGCACCAATAAAGTAAGTAATCTGTCATGGGCCTTCTTCATGTCCCCCCCCAACCCAAACAAGAGGCAATCTGCATGATTACTTTTGTCCCAGAGAAAAGATGTTCAAGAATAATTCTTTCTTTTCTTTTGTCAATAGCTCCCTTGCCCTACCCTTCTTATAAAAACCTTCCATGCTGTTTGTACAAGGCCTCTGAGCACCCTTCTGGTTGCTGGAGGAGATGCTGCCCAATTCATGAATCGATTAGTAAAGCCAATCAGAGCTGCAAATTTTGGTTTTTTAAACACTTTAAATAGGCGTATTATATGGTGTGTGAATTACAACTTAATAAAGCTGCTTTTAAAAGTCTCTATTCCAAATAGGGAAAAATTTCAAATCTGTTTTGCATGAGAGGGGTCCCAACAATATCTTTGTTCCTGGTAGTCAGAGCTTATAAGTAACTTTCTCCATACATGTTTTCAAGCCAAAGCAAACTTTTAGTCCTCTGGGACTCAGGGAATTTTCCTAGAAAATGCTGATTTAGGTTGAAGAAGAAGGAGGAGGAGAGGGAAAAGGAGAAACTAAGATAAATATAATATATACTTACAAGGTGTTTCTTCCTGTCGAGCTCAGCAATCCCACATTAGTCTTTGGGACATACTACAATAACTCAATTTTTCATTATCGTTCTTCAGTCTCCTTTTCCCCTTGATCTTGCTTGCTCTTTCCTGAAATATCAACAATAATGTGCTACCCTGGGATGCTCTCTGGGAAAAGAGCCTCTACAGAAACTCCCCATGCCTACTTGCCATTTCCTGGGTCAGTTCAATCTCATTATCTCCATTTGGCAAGTCACACTAAGGTGTGAGGGGCTGATAGAGCCACAGTGAGTTAACATTCCCGGTTCTGTTAGAGAAGTGTAGCTCATTACCTAAAAAGGCTGAATCTCTGGGAGCTGCATGTATCCAAGGTAATTTGGGTCAGGTGGGCTTCCATCCATCTCGAGTGTAATCACAGTAAAATGTATCTGAGCCTAAGGCTGTCACCATCTGCCTTTCCCTTGGAGGGACAGTCCTCCGTGCTGGTGGTTAATGAGATGAACAATGTCCTTGGCCTTGTCTTCAGACTCAGCCTGCTTGACCTGAAGATGCCATTTGGAAAGTTCCTCTCAATGGAGGATCAGCAAAGCCATTTTTAAAGCACATGTCCCTGTGTTTCAGTGTTTACAAAGCAAAGACACAAGATTAGAAGTTTGTTTTTTTTTTTAGTTTGCATTCAGAAAGCACCACTTTGGTGTTTTAAAGACTAAGAAATTCTTCTACAGTCAACTGGTTAACTAATAGCAAACAGAGCTAGAAATGAAAATACTCCATTATGTGACTTAAGACCTCAAATCACTCACTACCTGGGCTTTAATCTCCGTACCTGCCTGGGTTGGCTGAGAAGCCAAGAAAGGAATTCTATGACTCTCAAGGTCACTGTCAGGTACGTAACTACAACTTTACTGCAGAGAAAGGCTCATCAGAATGGTGACGAATTAGCCGACACTGCCCCACCTAAGGTGACTCAGGGCCGTTCTGATTTGTTATCTGGGGGGTGGGGCCCACCATTCCTCTCCTGAGTACACTAGTAGATATACAAGTGCACACATTAGAAGCAATGATCGTCACAGAAAAATATCCAATAAATGATTCAAACTTGTGTAATATAATGATAGCACTATACTAGTAGCACATTCAGAATGTCTATGAGTGGGACTGACAATCAGTTGATAGCTGAGAATGGGGATTATGGCCGGCTTTTCTTTACCCAGACCAGTCCCAGCAATTCCCTTGGCAGGCTCCACTTGAGTCAGAGCAGGAAACATGTTCTGTATTTGCTGCTTGAGAAAGTGCATGGACTTTGGATTCAACCCATCCTTCTCTTTGAGGTCAGGGCCCCTACTTGAAATAGCCCAACTCTCCTCATCCATCACCTGGTTTACGCATGTGTATCTTTTGTGCTCCCCACTCCTGTCTCCATCTCCTCCTGGCCTCCTTAGGCACCGTCCACCCCCTGCACGGCTCCCATCGTGTCCTGTGCCTCCCTGTTTCTCCCTGGGGAGGATGCCATAGTCATCCTCATTTTATAGAGAAGGAGCCAGTCTAGAGTGGAGATTTTAAAAAAGAAGAAAGGTTGACGAAGCTCTGAAAAGCAAGAACTACATAAGGAAGCTGACCTGGAGGGCAAGAAAGGGGATGGAAATTTTCTTCTTTTTGTGTTTCCTCCACAGCAAGGCCCACTTCGCCCAGGGACCTGGAACTCAGGATCTTTGAAAAGACTCAATCAGTTAAGAAGTCATTGAATGAACATCATTTATGTTGCACGACCCAGGTTAAAATGGAAATTAGGGCATTTGCTGCCAATTCTACACATTTTGCATCATCTGAGGTTTCAAATACAGCTTTGGGCTCATCTATCAGAGAAGGTAGGGCTTTGTGCTTCCTGTTGTCAATATCCCCAGAAATACAAGAGGCATAGCAGCCCGTAGGTAACATTTTCCGAAACAAACTTCCATGAAGTATTGATTCAAAAGGATATATGCATTGCTATGTTTGTAGCAATGTTATTTATAATAGCCAAGGTTTGGAAACACCCCAATTCCCATCACTAGTGAATGAAAAAAAAGCTTCTGTGCATTTACACAGTGGAATACTACTTAGCCATAAAAAGGAGGAAGTAGGAAGTTTTGTGACAGTGTGAGTGGACCTGGATAGTATTATGCTCAGTGAAATAAGCCAGTCAGAGGACAAATACCATATGATTTCACTCACATGCAAATCTAATGAACAAAATAAGCTAAGGAACAAAATAGAAACAGACTATTATATACAAAGAACACACTGACGGCTGTCAGAGGGGAGGAAGGGCTGAGGGGCTAGGTGAAATGTGTGAAGGGATTAAGAGAAAGAGAACCTCACGGATACAGACAACAGTATGGTGGTTACCAGAGGGAAAGGGGGCCAAGGGGAGGGAGAAAACAATAAAGGGGGGCTAAATGGTGATGGAAGGGAACTGGACTTTGGATGGTGACCTCGCAATGTCTAGATGATGTATTAGAGAATTGTAACTTAAAACCTATATAATTTTATTGACCAATATAACCCCAATAAAAATAAAATAAAATGAATGGAAAAACAAAATATGTATATAGATTTATAAGTGTATATATACATAGGCACATATATATCTGTGTGTGTTTGTAAATTGAAGGGGAAAAGCCACCACAGATCAACTTATATGTGAAACAATAATCATACCTAATCCATGGTTGTTCAGCATTAAATGAATAAGCATAACTTTCATTTGCAAAATCCTGGGAATGATTGAACAGAGAAATAAATTAGCATCTTCCTGTCATATCACCTTTGTTTGAATACTGACTGACAGTTTCAAATTGTATAATCTATACTTATTATTTAAACTTCCTGAGCCTCAGTTTTCTTATATATGCAATGGGGGTTATAATAGTTTCTGCTCCCAGGTTGGGAAAACTAAACAAGTTAATACATATAAACTGCTAGAACAATGCCTAGTCTACAGTAATATTCACATATCGCCATCATTGTGTCATTTATTAAACATAGATTCACTTAGCATCCTAGCACCTTCCAGGTACAGTCCTGTGTTAAGTCTAGGGACACATAAATAAACATTTTCCTTATTAAAGCTCGTAGTTGTTTAAAACATTCTTTCAGATGACTTAAAAAGATATAAACCCTGCTGCCAGATAACAGGAAGTGGATAACGTAGATAAGCCCAGGGAGCAGAAAAGGGGGCGAGTGCAGAGGCAGGAAAACTTCCCTGAAGGGTCACATACTTATTTAGGGTGGGCCACCTTTCTGGCTCTGGACTTCCCTGCAGCCAGCAGGAAACTGCACAGTTGAACAAGGCAAGATTTCCGACCTCAGGGAACTCTGTGTCTAGTTGAGGAAACAGATGTGTAAACAAACAATTACAGTGCAATGTGATGAATGCAAAAGTGGAAGTTCTCCAGGGGCTTTGCAGAGGAAGTGATACTGGAGACGGTTTTCAATGATGGAGAGGCTGGAGAGCATCATCAGGACAGGCAGCAGCACAGACACAGGCTTGGAACTGTTGTCCGTTTGCAAAATGGGGTTCAATTTCCTAGTCTCATCAGAGAAGTTGTAGAAGGCATACAGGTGCTCAATAATTTTTCTTTTCAGTAAAATAATGACAGGATTCACGATAAGTGTTCCAAGGCAGCAAGAACAATAAACATGGTTTCAAAGAACCCAGAGTGAAGTTAAGAAATCGGGCAAAATGCCAAAGAAAGAAAGAAAAGGAAACCCTAAAACTCCACCTCTGTTACTTTGTCCACCACTGTTTGGATTTCCTCAGGAACCTGTTGGGAAGAAGAGGGTTCTATGCTCACATAGAAATAGTGAGCAAGTCACAGTCATCTAAAACACACATCTGAAACAGTGAACTAACAGAACGGAATTTTGGAACTGTGTCACATCATTAGAAATTGTAAAATCTCATGCTCTCATCTCAATTAAGAGAAAGGAAACCTAAGTAATTTTTGAAAACAGCTGGATAGTAGTAAAGTTGGTATAAGACCAGAGATTTTCCCTACTTTCATTTGGCATCACTTTCCACTTGACAACAGGGACCCTCCCAGTCCAGTTACAGGGTCTTGAGATCTGATGTGCGTCATCACAAATGGAGTGACCGAAGGCCAGAAACAGGAGAGTAGCTTAAAACTGGAGGCACTGCCGTATTTTTAGGACTATAAGAGACACCGGACCATAAGATGCACCTAGGTTTTAGAGGAGGAAAATAAGAAAAAAAAATTTGAAGCAAATAATGTGGTAAAATATTTAATAATCTGTGACCCTGCTCCACCGTTGCCCCCTGCACAGTGAGCCAGGTGAGCTACATTTGGACTATGAGACACACACACCCCTTCCTCCCAAATTTGGGGAGAAAGTGCATCTTAGAGTCCAAAAAACACAGTAATTCAAACTTCAAGGATCAAAATTATCTGTTACAAAATATGAGAGTTTATTATCTACATGAAGAAATCTAAAAGAGGGATGTGTGTGTTTGAAAGTACAGGATATTATAATTACGTGACTTTTTGATTTTTTCAAAATTCTTCCAGCCTGCCTTAAATGTATCCTCACATCTAGATAACCAATTCAAAAATAACTTATTTTCAATGAAGAGCAAATTACTATAACTTGACAAAAGTTTTATTTTGGCACATTTTTTGGCAGAGCCACTTCCCCTGTTGGGTCAAACTGTTTTCCCAGGAATCCTTTATCTTCCCGGCGAAGGGATGGTCCTTTAGCAGTGACTCCAAACCCCACGTGGTGAGCGTTTTCCATCTGGCTCTCAATCAATGGGTTGGTCTTCTCTGAACGTGTGTTTAAGAGCTTTGAGCCAGTTCCACATTCAAAGAAACTCTTTGTTGAAATCTTTTAAGTGAAACAAAGACAAATAACTTCTCCCCTGCTGTGCGCCTTTGGGAGCTGGTTACATATTCTGCATTGCATTGTTTTGTTTTAAAAGGGATCACCTGTTTCCCTTCCAAAGCTGACTGGGGTTTCTGATGTGAATGATTTGCAGGTACTCACTTCTGTGGCGTGGCCAGTGATTGAAATTTTACGGTCCCTGCTTCACTGGGACCCAGACCCTGCTTCCCAAACAAGCTTCTCAGTGATACAAATGCCCTTCCTGGCCAGATGGCTGGCTCTCTAATTCCAGGGATCACTGACCATTTGGTACCACCTGTGCCAACTTAGTATCTGACTGGAGAAGCTGAGCCAATTGAAGGCTAAAAGATGAGAATCAGAATGACATGGATAAATGTGGGTTTTAGATCTTCAGCAACTATCCTTGTCAATGTTTTGGGGTGTTTTTCTCTCCCCTAGGGATATCGATTACTCACTGTTCAATAGCTGTCCAAAGCCTTCACTTTTGCTCTTCACCCTTATAAATGTCAACCACTATACATTAGTACTGGCAGTATTAACATATACTACACAGTTTAAAAAGGTCCTTTCTATTATCTCCTTGAATCCACACAACAATCAAGGATTGTTACTGGGACATACATGCAAGGCAGCCAAGGGCAGAAGGACTGCAGCGTCT